TAAAGCCTCTACACCAGATGCAGATGTACAACTGAAATACATCAATTCACATGACACTATAAAGTCTAACACTAGATGCAGTCTGTTACTTGTCACTCACTGATATAATCTTCAAGTACATGATTATGGTCTCTGTGCAAACGCTCTGCTAATATTAAACTGTACTTGCAATTGCTCCCCAGTATTACCATCACTGCCTCAGCATCACCTCATATCATCAGGCATTAGATTCCCATACAATCTAGATCCCTCACACATATAGGTCACAGTAGGGTTCACACTCTAGTGAGAATCTAATGTCACAATGGATCTCACAGGAGGTGGAGCTCTGGTCATAGGGAGCAGCTACAAATACAAAGGAAGCTTCAAAAATCACCTGCTGCTCAGCTTCTGCTGTAAGGCCCAGTTCCTAACAATTCCATTCACAATAGCTTACTGAAAAATACCTAGGAATAACTGTACACAACAAAGACCTAGAAAGACCTCTCCAACAAAAATTACAGGACACAGAAGAAAGAAATTAAAGAAGGCAGTAGAAATGGAAAGCCTACTATGATCCTGGGTTGCCAAAATATTTTTTAATATGGTCATATTACTAAAAGCAACTACAGATTTTATGCTACTCATCAAAATACCAATGATATTCTTCAAAGAACTAGAAAAAAATCCTAAAATTCATACGAAAACATAAAACACCCAGAGTAACCAGACAAACAAATAACCAAGCAAAAACAAAAAACAGGGCCAGGGATATAGCTCAGCACTACAAGTGCCTGCCTGGCAAGCGCAAGGTTCTGAGTTTGCTTCCTGGTAAAAAAAAAAAAAAAAAAAAAAAAAAACACCAAAGATGAAGGTATCATTTCAAAATATATCATAAAGTCATAGTTAAAACTAAACAAAAAAAACCAGCATGTTACTGGTATAAAACCAGATATGTAGACTAATAAAACAGAATGGAGGGCACAGAAATAAACCCTTGCACCTACAGCTATCTGGTTCTTGACAAAGGGGCCAAAAATACCTTGGAGAAAAGATGGGCTCTTCAAGAAATGGTGCCCAGAAAGCTGTATATCCATACAGAGAAGACTGAAACTGGATTCCTTGTGCAAAAATGAACTGAACGTGGATCTAATACCTGCAAGTCTGAAAGTGCTGAAGAAAACATAGGGCACAGGCAATGCTTTCCTGACTCAAACTCCAACAGCTAGGCAAATAAGAGCAAGAATTGTTAAATGGATTCTACGAAACTAAAAGGTTTCTGCAGGGCAAAAGAACTAACAAGAGTGAAGAAACAGATCAGAGAGTGAGAGAAAATCTTGAACTAAAAAACTTAATAACACTACCCCCAATCCCAATCAATGTGGGCAAATGAACTGACCAAATAATCAAAAAAGCACAAATGCCGAATAATTACATGGTTATTCAGCCATCATAGATATTCAAACCAGTACTACATTTCTCAGTCCAGCCGGCATGGCTATCATAATGCATGCAAAAAGCAACAGATGCTGGTACAGATGTGGGGAAATAGGAACTCTCACATACTGTCATATAGACAGTATGGAAATCAGTGTGGAAGGTCGTCCAAAAACTAAAAATAGAGCTACCATTTGATCCAGCTGTACCACATCTCCATATACACCTGAAAGAATTAAAACTCTGCATATAATAAGGATAAATGCACTGCCCACCCATAGTTATTGTGACACGATTCATAGAAGCCAAGTCATGGGATAAGTTTAGGTGCACATCAACCGATAAATGGAAAAATAAAAAGTATTACATGGACTATTATTCAACCATAAAGAACAAAATCATGCCAATTGGAAGAAAATAGATGGAGATCACTGCATTAACATGGGGGGATAATAGAGAGGTGAAAATTATCAAAGTACATTATATGCATATATGAATATGACAAATCAAATCCATTATTCTATATAATTAATATGTGCTAATTAAAAGAAAAAAGGATTTTAAAAAGAAAAACAGTTTACACTTGTATGAAAATACCTGAAATACAGATAAATCTAATCAAATATGTAAAAGTTCAAATGCTAAAAACTACAAAATATTATTGAGAAAATTAAATATAACCAATGCACGTAGATGTACTTTATTCAGAAGTCAAAAGGTTCATTATTAAGATGTTAATTCTCCCCTCTCTAGTTCCTGGCAGGCTTTTTTGTTTGTTTTTAAACTCACAAGGTGATTCTAAAGTTCATACAGAGGACTGGGGATGGAGCTCAGTGGTAAAGTACAAGATACGGGCTTTGACCCCCAGCACTATATAATATAGAAATGCAAAAGATCTAGAAATAGCAAAAATAATCTTGAAGAAAAGAACAAACTAGGAGGGATAAGAAGGCTGATTTCAGGCATTAAATCCTATATTAGCCAAAGTGGTGATGTTCACATGAAGTCAAAGAACAATAGACTAGCACAGAAGGTAGAGAAATAGAGCTACACATAAATAGCCAAATTGTTTTTGACAAAAGCATGACAGTGTAGTGGAAAAAGCACAGGCTTTTCAACACACGGAGCTGTAACTACTGGACAGCCAAAACTGAACTCAAGGTGAGTCACAGATCTAAATGTAAGACCAAAGACTAGGAAATGTCTAAAAAAAAACACAGAAGAAAATCTCTGTGACCTCATGCTAGGCAAAGATTCCTTAGTTATGACACAAAAGCCAAACTCCATCACTGAACAAATACATAAATTGGACATTGTTAAAATTCAAAACTTCTACTTTTCAAAAAATACTATTAAGAGAATAAAAAGTGAAGCCAAAAACGGGAAATGAATCCTTGTGAAAATTACCACTGATGAAGGAATGGTATCTACAACATGGAATAAATTGTTAAAATTCAACAAGTAACCTAATTTCTAAAATGATGAAAAATTTGAAAAGACAGTTCACCAGAGATGATATACAAGTGAAAAACAAGCACACTGAAAGATGCTCAACATTATTAGTCATTATGGTGATGCCCATTAAAATCATACTACTATGCACAATACACACCTATTCAAATGGCTACACATACACAGAGACACAGACACAGACACACACAGAGACAATACTATCTGTTTGTGAAGATATGCAGGAACTAGAACTCTCATATACCACTGATGGGTGTGGAAGGGGGTACCAACACTCTGCAAAACAGTTTCGTAGTTTCTCAATAATGGAAAACAAAGGAGCATTAGGAGGCTTCAGTGGGTGACAGACTTATTAACTATCTAGATTGTGCTAATAAAATGTGTTTAATAACATGTCAAAACTGATCAAACTGTACACTTTACATATACACACTAAAATGACAGAGTAATGTGTGAAGCCATGAATGAGAAGGCAATGGAGACCTCAGAAATTTGGAGAAGCCAGGAATGTGGATCACCTAAGAAAAGCTGCAAGGAGGGAGCAAAGCAGGCCTAAGAGAGAAGCCATGGGACCTACAACTACCTGAACTGCCATGGAGGCTGAGCCACATGGAACTCACAATTTGCCATAGATTTCCTCAGATGTACATGGAACTATATACTTAATGTTTCCTTGAAGGATTTTGGACTTGCCTTGGTCCCAATAATTTGTATCCCCTTCCTTATACATTTAGGTATGGTAATGTTTACCTTGTGCAACTGAATGTTGGAAGTGTTTAACTTTCATTTGTATAGGGGCTCACACATAAGAGTTTGCCTTAAATCTCAGAGGAGACTTGGGACTCGAACTTTTCAGAAATGATGAAACTGTCACAAATCTGGAACTCTTAGACACAGACTAAAATGCCTTTGGCATAAAGGGATGTGCATGAGTCTCTGGGGGCGGGGGAGGCAAAGGAAGAATGTTATGGTTTGTGTCTACATGGCCCTCTGAAGCCTCATGCAGTCATGGGACGGATTCTAGAGTTTATGATTGATTCATTGTCCAATGCTGGGAATGTGGGTGTAAGTGCTACACAGGCCGTGGGGCAGGTAGCTTGCATACAGTATAAGGGAGGGAAAGAGGCTTGTTAGATGCTGCTACTCCCTTTCTGCTCTTGCTCCTTTTGCTGTCTTCTGCATCCACAAATGGTTGTTCTCTGCCATGCACCACTCTGCTTTCGAGCCAGTGGAGTACGGACTGAAACCATCACAAACTGAGCTAAATAAATCTTTGCTTCCTCAATTTTCAGCATCGGGTATTTTCTCTCAGGAATGAGAAAAAAAGTAACCAAGACAACAGCCATCCTCAATACCAGTTCCTGAGCTCCTCTGATGATAAGAACAGCCTAGTCCATGTCAGGAAAGCCAGCATGACAAGCTTCTCCAGGACACTGAACAGTGCACCGTCTTCCCCTCCAGAGCCAGGAAGCGATGCTCAAGGGAAGAATCAGAGCTCCCCCAAAAGGAGCTATAGCCATTCTCAGTGACAACAAGGTCCTGAGCTCCTTCAACAAAGAGAACAGCAAGTTCATCAGGAAAGGCAGCATGACAAGTCCTCCAGGAGAACCAACAGCTCCCAATAGCTTCTCTTCATTTTCTCCACTTCTTTTTAGTTTGTGGGCAACAACCCTCAGGTGGGCCTTCTATACCCAGCACCATGCTGATTCAGTTCAGCTGGAAGCCACAAATTCACTACCACTTGCAAATCCACCACATAATGGTTATAGAGTAAACCTTCACTTCAGCAGGTGGGTGAGCAAGGAAACAGATCTAATTATACAGTATTCCAGGCAGAGATTATGATTTGCTGACTTGATAATGATCAAGACATAGGAGAGAAGCAAAGACAACAAAAAGCCTGGAAATGCCACTCACATGAAGAAAGAGCAATGGGAACAGAGGCTGCTCTCTGGCTCGAGTGTACAATATCTCTCATCATATGCTAATATGAAGCATTCTCGGCCCAAATAGCACTGGAACACAGCTATGTTAGATGGCACACTGCTGAGCAATGGGTACACCCACTACTGCGACATCTATCGGAATGCCTTGCGTTTTCACACTGGTCCTACCTGTGCACTCCGTTAGCAGTTGTTCAAATAGCACCAAAATATTCTCATACTGCATGTAAGGCGACTCACTACTCTTTGATGGTGTTTCAGATGACTGAGATAACTCATCAAGGCCATCCACACCATTTATCTTCTTTTTGACCTATTAAATAAATAGTATTATTTCAAAATGTTCCCAAAGTATTTACACCATATACTAAATACACATGAGTACTAAATATCCTCTTCTTATATAAAAAGCAACACAAGTACTGGCTACTGTTTCTAAGCCAATTTTTTAAAATAGTGTCTTTATATAACCAAAGATTCTCGATTTTTTTACTTTATTTTTCATGATGTATCTTTTAACCCATATATGTGTATTATAATGTATCACTTTACCTTTCATGATATTCTCAAAAATGTACTACTTCTGATTATTTTTTACAATACCTTGCTCTTTTCATCAGACATTTTCTTTGTGGACCTAAAAGAAAAAAGAAAAATCAAGAAACTCATACAATTCTTTCAGGAAAATACTGAATAGATAAAACACAAAGAATACATAAGACTATTGTTTTGTACATAAAATTTCAGCATTTATAATTTATTTCTCCTCTTATAAAGTTTATAGGCTATTTAACGTATAATTTTCTAGAAGGAGAATTCAACTCTAAAACAAAGGGTAACACTTTAGGGAAAAAGAATACTACTAATGATATTATTATAACAAATAATTAAATTTAGATCAAGATTTCTAACAGGTAAACAGAAGAAAAAGGTTACATGATGTGACAGAAAAAAATACCATTTTGTTACCATCATTTTTAAGAAAACCAAAAGCAAACGTTTACAGGCACTAAAACCCATCTAGAAAACACTACTTAGGTCCCTATATAAGGGAAATCCTCTTTTAATGATAGGAGCTAACTTTTCAGGATCTACTATGTAACTTCTAGGCAGTCTAAGCACTGTACATGTGCTAATCACAATTCTGTGAGGTAGGTAACATATTATTTTATGAAGAATAAGAGCCAAGTAACTTGCTCAAGAGCATACAGGTGGTAAGAATTTAAACCTAGGAACATTTCACAGTACAGAGGATCCCTGAAATTCACAAGGGTTATATTCCCAGAGCACTCGCAGTTGGAAAAAAACTGCAAATTTCAGATATGGTCAAAAAATGCCAGTGAATGCCTGTTTTTACAGTTTATATCCTAAATATGCTATGTCTCCTACAATTATGTAAATTTAATAAAATACTGTATGAATAAAGCCTTAGAAAGTGTAGGGCATTTTGGCAACATCTTAAGGTTCTCAGGGCTTTAAGAAGAACAAATCCAAGAATGCTGGAGACAGCTGCATGCAGTGCCTCAACCTGTTATGCAGAGATGGGTTACAGGGCAGCAACCAATCAGCAGCAAAAAAAGATGTGGAGGGTATTTTTGTTTTCTCTGAAATTGCAGGGGATTTTGCCAAAAATTATTAGTTCAGTTCTAAGGAAAAATCTGGGGAGTGGGGCCAGGAACTCTGAACTGTGACATGGCAGGGGTATAGCATATCTTGTGAAATACTTATCTTCAAGTGCTTAGTGTGGTGAAGTAATATAATATCGCATTACTGTTTCCACCAGTTGTACACACATGACTGTCCCCATTGGGCAGCACTGGACAGTCATGCACGGATGGCTCCATTGTGAATGTTAGTCCATACTATCATCCATTTTTGATTATGATCTTGCAAAAGTTTTTAAAAATTAAAATGAAAAAACATGTCTTTACTAGACCATTTCTAGCAGTGAGTAAATAGACTCTAACATCTTTTTAAGAGAAAAATATTCTTAAATGCCACATTCTTCCCTGCCTTTCCCAGAAAAGATATCTGACACTCATCCACAGCAGTCAGCTTACTGTATGACTACAGCTGAAACTGCTCCTAGTCGAATTCACTTGCCCTCATCTTAACCAACTTTTCAGCAGCAATGATGTAGCTGGGTATTCTCTGCTTTTCCCAGAGACCATACTGTTCTGTTTTATTTCCAGAAAAAGTAATTCCCCCTAACATTCCTTTAAAGGAAAATAAAATAATTACACATATTTTACCTTCCTTCATCTTCATCTGTGTCATTCAACTTGCAACCGCTCTTCACTTGTAGTGGACCCCCGGGAATGGAATCGGCCTGCTGAAACACCGAGGAAGTCACAGATTCTGTGGAGCTCCGCTGTTCATTTTCATTCTTCTTTACTTTCCTCGAAGGCAACGCAGGCTCACTGCTTTTTTAAAAAGCCATTCCAAAAGCAATGTTTTCTAATTAGTCTACTAACAGAATTCTTTTAAAAAAGCAATTTTGGGGAAAATGTCAATACTTCCCAATATTAATTTACTTATTCATTATAAATTAGTTATGAAGTACCAGCTAAATTCAAGGAGACATGTATTTCCTCCTTTAAAAAAAACATACAAATAATTCACTGTGATATGGAAGAGTCGATAAATGAAAAGTTGTATCTGAGCACAAGGAAGAATTTATAAAAGAGATAAAATATAAGAGAAGAGATCACTAGACAAAAATGTAGCAGAAAACCACTCTAATTATTAGAGCACAGAATGTGAGACAAAGATGAGGCATAGTGCATCCAGGTGTTTCCCAGGAGCTTGAAAGGAAGCAAGAGGTAAGAGATGAGTGCTACAGCCCACGGACCCCACACACTGCACCAAAGGCCTCTCAGGAATGGAAATAACTAGATCTGTGCTACATCTTGGTTTTGTTTTTCAATATAACATTACTGAATTGAAATAAATTTCTAAAATCTCATGAGAGTATCAAACAAGAAACTGGGGAATAGCTTGAGGACAAAGACTTCATTTAAAATACCCATATGTCATTATATGTAAGTTTACAACAGAACATTCTGAATAGCAATGATTTTTGTTTGAAAATAAAAGGTTGTGGAACTTTTGTATACTTTTAGCCTAGTACTTAATCCTAATGTACAAGGCTGGATTTACCAACACATCACTGTAATTCTTTTTTACGGAATAAATACACAGAATAGTTAAGGAATAATGCGATCACACAGAACAAATTTACAAAGACTGAAATTTCCCATGGGAGATTGTATTGTTAGATGAACATAAGTCCCTAAAAGCACCACAATCAAAACCAACTATTTACAAAAATGTTATATAAGTAACTCTTATTAACACAAAAACTCTAAATAAATGGGCATGGGATGGGGTGGGGCAGATATTCTGCCTTAGACTCTTGAGTGCTAGGAATTTGGGTCTGTGATACCATGCCCAGTTCAACCACTGAATTCAATTCGGTTCTCACCCAGCTCGGTTTGCAGGCAGAATCACGGAAAGAATCACCCTCATGAACTAAGGTACCACTCAGGCAACTGTTATAAGAGACTGTGCCCAACCAGCATAGCTCTTTCCACAGGAAGCAATACACTACACTTCATCTTGTCTTTTAATTTCAGTATTGAAAGTTTTAGTCTTCTGGCCACAAACTTCTTTTGAAATCCATTAAATTTACTACCGTTATGTTTTCTTTCTCTTAATAAAATACAAATGAAGCCTGCAATTCTTTTAATCCATTTTGCTATAAGTGAAACTATTCTAAAAGAATGAATAATTGCAATATTGAACTTTTCTTCCTAAATGGAAAAATATTAACATAGAGTATATAGCTTATTAAAGCCAAAAATGTAAAAACATGTGTATATTTGCCAGGTAAAACTTTTAGAATGAACTTACATGAAACTTATTTTCCCAGTACTGGGGATTGAGCCCAAGGGTATTTTACCACTGAGCTATACCTCCAGTCCTTTTTGATTTTCAGACAAGGTCTTGCTCAGCTTCCCAAGTGGGATTCAAATTTGCAATCCTACTGCCTCAGCTCTCCAACCCTTAGCCTATTTCACCCAAAGTGAAAGAAAAGACACAAAATAAGCAATTAAACTGAAAAAGGTGAAATTACAATAGAAATTGCAAAAATCTAGGTAATTATTAACAACTACTTCACAAAATATATAGGAACAATTGGAGAACTTAGAAAAAATGGAGAGATTCCTAGACATATACGAAATACCAAAGCTGACCCAAAAAGATATAAAAATCCTTAATCATCCAGCATCAGGAAAGATAATTAAACAATTAATTTTAAAAATACCAACTAAGAAAATACCACGATCTGATGGATTCGGTAAAATTCTACAAGAACCTCAGGGAAGATCAAATACCAATACTCTTCTAACTTTTTGGTAAAATTAAAAGGAGTATTTGAAAAATCATTCTTGGAAGCTAACATCCTGATACCAAAACCACACATGGACACAACCAAAAAGGGAACTACAGGACTATTTCTCTAATGAACGTAGAGGTAAAAATCCTTAACAAGTCAGTGGCAAACTGAAAGCAACAGATCATCACAAAGGTCATACACCCTGACCAAGGTTTCATCCCACGGATGCAAGGATGGTTTAATAAACACAAATCAATAAATGTAATTCATCACATAAACAGAAGCAAGGACAAAAATCACATGATCATCTCAATAGTTGCAAAAAAGCCTCTGACAAACTCCAAAGTTCATTCATGTTAAAAAAAAACCCTGAAGAAAATAGGTATAGAAGGTTTTTATTTCAATATGATAAAATCCATTTAGGACCATCCTACTGCTAACATTATAGTAAATGGGGAAAAACTAAAAGCCTGTCCTCTAAAATCAGGAACAAGACAAGGATGTTGATTATCACCACTCCTGTTCAATGTAGTCACTGAAATATTAGCCAGAACAATCAGATAAGAGAAAGAAACAAACGTGATACATATAGGAAAGGACAGTCAAAATATCACTATTTGCCCATGACATGATCCTCTATTTGGATCATGCCACCAAAAATGCTCCCAGAATTGATAACTAAATTTAGCAGTGTAGCAGGACACAAAATCAACACATGAAAATCAACAGCATTACTGGACACTTAATAAAGAACTCCTTGAAAAAGCAATTAGGAAAATAATACCATTCACAAGAACATGAGAAAATTAAATACTTAGGTATTAAATGAACTAAGAAAGCAAAGACCTCTACAATGAAAATTACATACTCTGAAAAAGGAAACTGAAAACATCAGAAAAAGGAAAGATAACCCATTTCTGGATAGGCAGAACCAATATTGTCAAAATGGCCTTACTTTCAAAACTAATAAACAGACTTCATGCAATCCCTCACAAAATACCAAAACCACTTCCCACAGACATAAGGAAACAATCCTAAAATTTATATGGAATCAGAAAAAAGAGACCCAAAATAGCAAAAGTAATCCTAAGTAACAAAAGCAAAGCAGGTGACATCATAATCTCAGAGCTGAAGTTATACTATAAAGTTATAGTGATTAAAACTACATGGTACTGGCACAAAAACAGGCATGTACATCAGTGAACAGAACAGAAGAGAGAGAAACAACTTCAGGCACACAGAGCTATGTGATCTTTGACAAAGGAGCCAAAAACATAAACTGGAGGAAAGACAGAGTCTTCAATAAATGCTGCTGGGAAAACTGGATACCTACATGCAAAAGACTGGGTCTAGATCCATATAGCTCGCCATGTACTAAAGGAAAATTAAAATGGGTCAAAGATCTCAATGTTAAAACAGAAACAATCTGCTGGAAGATACAATAGGTAATACTTGAAGACACAGGCATAGGCAAGGACATTCTGAACAAAACCTCAATGGCACAAAAAATAATATCAAGAATCAACAAATGGGGTCATGTCAGATTAAAAAGCATCTGTACTGCAAAGGAAACAACCAACAGAGTGATCAGACAACCTTCAGAATGGGAAAAACAATTTGCCAGCTATTCCACAGTCAGAGGACTAATGTCAAGAACATATTTAAAAAACTCAAAAACTTAGACTTCCCAAAATAAAACTCAGCCAAATCATGGGCAACTGAAATGAAAAGACACTTCTTAGAAGTGCAAATGGCCAATAAAATACATGAAAAAATAATCATTATTGTTGGCCATCACAGAAATGCAAATTAAAACTACACTGAGATACCATTTTACCTTAGAAAGAACAGTTACTATAAAAAAAAATCTAATTATACATGGTGACAACAATGTGGGGGAAAAAGGAACTTTTCTGCATTGATGGTGGGAATATAAACAAGCACAACTACTCTGGTAATCAGTGTGGAGATTCCTCAAAAAACTAAAAAAAAGAAATTCAATTTGAGTCAGCTATGCCCCTTCAAGTAGCACAATTTATAACAGCTACCTGTCTGAAAGAGCGTGTATGTCCATCAACAGAAGAATGCATAAGGAAAATGTATCTATACACAATGCAGTACACCACAATGCCATAAAGAAAAATAATCTTGAGGCATGTGTCGGTCACTTCCTTCTCACATTGCTGAGACAAAATATTTGACGCTGAAAATTAAGGAAGGAAAGGTTTATTTAGCTCGCAGTCTGTAGAGGTTTCAGTCCATACTTGGCTGGCTCCAAGGCATGGTGGCACATGGCAGAGGGCAACAGTTCATGGCGGAGGAAAATAGCAAAAGCAGCAAGAGCAAAAATGGGGGCACAAGTAGCAAGCAAGCTTCTTTCACTTCCTTACACTGTATGGAAACTACCCGCCCCAGGATGAGTACAGCACTCACATCCATAATCCCAACACTGGACCGTGAATCAAGCCCACCCCCATCACTGCATGAGGCTTTGGGGGAATATCCACACACAAACCAGGACAGGCATTCATAGAAAAATGTATGCAACTTGACAATATAAAGTGAGGTGAGACCCAATCCCGGAGGCCAGGACGCGAGAACAAAGACCCC